CTTGCTAGGCATATGCGGTGAATAAATTCACACGAATGCGTCGCTTTCACCCCCACTTAAAACGGGTTCGGAGCTCGGGTTTAGAGCTTAGAGATGACAATTTTGAAAAAAATATGAAATCATTAAAAAACATCAGTACAACTATTTATTTGAAACAAAATAATCAAAGATAAATAATTGGAATCGAATAAATAAATTTAAATTTAAAATTAAAATTTTCGCATAAAAAGACAACCGAAAATTAATTTTGGCCTGACTCACTTACCTGTCCCCAGCAGAGTCGCCAAGCTGTCGGAACCGTCTTTCGGTTGTGCCCCGGAATCGGGCTTCGACTTAGGAAAATAGATTTGGAGTCGCCACCGACCATTTTAAAATGAATTTAGGTGGGTCGGACACCATCTTACCTGATCTGCGTTTTACCAAAAATGTGTCGGGTTCGGGAGTCGGTTACGGTCAAGGAAGGATTAGCACCCTTGAACCGCCCTTTCGGTACCAATTAATTTGTCGGTTGTCTTTAATTGCGAAAATTAAAATTAAAATTAGAATTTAAAACATTCGATTCAAATACTTACCTTTGATCGATTGAAATTACGACTTAAAAAGTTTAAAAAAAATGTTAAATTGAAAAATAAATAAATAAATATTAAATAAAAAGAGGAAAAAAAAGATTTTTCTTAAAAAATGTTAAAAATAGATAATTTAAAAAATAAAAAAAAATCAAAAACTATACTGTATTATAAAAAAACTCAGAATCAAAATGAGTGTCTACCAGAATCATAATGTTACCATTTAACAACAACAATCTTGCGTGACAACAGCGAACCATTTCCATGACATGTCTCGCTTTAAGTAATCCACAGGATCCACAAGTTGCACAAGGTAGCTTCCCTTTTCCATCACATTCTGTGCATATGCTCGAATGGAATTCAAGGCTGCCTTACAGTAATGCTCCACAACCTCTGGTATTTCTAAGGTTTCAAGTGGTCGAGGTTTTGGATATATGCCATAGCTCCCATCACGCATAAGAATTCCCCACCGGTCTGAGATGAGTTTATCTGTTGATGATATCGACGCCACTCCACCAGGTTGATACACTGAATGTGATGCTCGGCCTACATGCCACAGTTGACGAAAAACGATGCCTCCCTTGGCATGAACAGCATCCACAATCGGCTTCCATGCCTCCACCTATTCTTCATGGTAGGTTCCAGGAACATGAGGAAACCCTACGCCGGTGTCGAAGATTAGTGTCCCTTCGGTGATGAGAAAGATGTCGGGAGTCGTCCTCTGGGTGTAATATTCAGCAAACATCGGCCCTGGTATTCCATTCAACACCCTGAATCTCGTCATAGGCGCCAGAACCACCCTGTGAGAAAGGTTCAACTTTTCCATCTTGTAAGGAGAGAACAACGTAGGGGCTCCTTGAGATTGGGATTCTGTCATTGTTAACTTTCCTTCTTCTTTTCCTACAAAACTTGATGGTAAGAAAATGGATTCATTAATGGTATACTGTCATTGGGAAACCCACACTTAACAAATATAAAAAAGAGAGAATATGAACATAAGCTGAAAATTGAAAATTCTTAGATTGGGAAATGGGTGTCTCTCTCTCTTCAATTCCCTTTTTCCTCCCAAGCATTTGCCATGTTTCCATAATACGCAGCAAAGTGAGGCTCAATTTGAAGGGCTTCTTCATTTTTGGCAGTGCACATCATAATCATGCACCATTGGTGAGCTAGGGCCGACTGCATATCTTCATTAACTTCAAGTGAATCATGTCCTTTGTGAGGCACAATACCAAGGGAAGAAGCAGGCTCCTGTTTGGCCCCATAAACGACAGCTTCTTCAAGTTGTAAGAGGAAGAGCCTGACGACTCAGAAATACCGGTATTGTTCAGAAAACAACTTCTTCGATCCTTGCAAGCAGGGCCAGAATCTCGTTCCTGTGGGCAGCAAGTGTGGAATCCAAACGTTCACGGAGGCTGTGTACGCAAGTGAGAGCACGCTCCGCCATTTCTTCGAACTTGAACTTTCGAGAACCAGAACCAAGGAAGAAGAAGATTACTAATGAGAATGGTAATACAAGGAACCAAAAAATTAATGAACGCAAAATAATAATAATAATAATCAAAGGATCCAATGAAATGGATCAGAACCAATAAATAAATACATAAATCAAATGCAACTTTCCAGAGAGCAAAAAAAAAATTTCGTCGCCTCGTTTCTTCTTCCCCGTGGTTCCTGGCTGGTTCAAGCATGGTTGCAGCAGTTTGGTTTCTTTGGGATACATGAAACTGACGAAGGTTGTTGATTCTCGAGCCATGAGCGTTTGCTTCGTTCAACACTTGGTAGATGAACATGTCTTGAGAACCATTCTCGTTAAACGGCAGCTGATGATTACTCTGGGACTGGGAGACTTCTTAGCTCTCTCTAGCATTTTTTTAATTCCAGTAGCCCCCTCAAATCTAAACGAAAATAGGGGATAAAGAAGAAAAGGGAAATGGGTTCCGTGCAATGGCCGATAGGCCATAGCACCTCTCTCTCTTCAGTTCCTTCTCCTTTTTATTGGCACGGAGATGGAGCAAGTGCCTCACCTAGATTAGTGGAGTTGTGGTTCAAATATGGCCAGGGTTGTTGTTGGTTGGTGTTACTTCGATTCGATGTTTCAAATGGTGAAGTAACAAAGATGGTATTGGAAAGAATAGAGACAGAGAAATTTTAGCCCCGAGAGAGCGTGAGACCAACGCCAATTTAATGTGGGAATGAGATTGTCATTTGATGCTGGAAAGTGAAGAGTGGAGACCATGGAAGGAAGAGAAAGAAGGCCAAGAGAGAGAACCCCGCGCCCAGTGTCCTCCCCTGTTCATCTTTTTGCCCCCCCATTAAAAAAGTGATGAAGGTGGGTTATAAAAAGTCATGAAAGTGGGAGCATAGAGTTCAATTCTCAGGGGGAAAGTAATTGTGTCCACTACTCACCCTTAATTTATGGTGGCATGGGCTTAGTGGAATAGGTGGGGTGCATGTAGTTGAGATAATGATGGGTAGTGGGGCCTGCAAAAAAAATAAAATTAAAAATAAATAATTAAATAATAATAATAAATAAATAATAATATAATATAATGTTTTTGTAGACCCGGACAAAAACGGGTGTCTACAGAATTCATATTTATTTTTAAATTATAAAAATTTACTAAATAAACGAGTATGAATATAATTTGTATGTCCATTTAATAAACGAACAAACATGAATAGAGGCGTGTTCGGTTCGTTTATGTTCACAAACAAGCTCATTTATAAGCTTTTTTATCGACTCATTTATATGTCTATTTATCGACTCATTCATATGTCTATTTATCGATTCATTTATATGTCTATTTATCGATTCGTTTATAATCTCGTTTACTCGGTTATCGTTTTTCTTATATATATATATATATGTATATATATATTTAAAAACTCTTGCATACACGATCCTCAAACCTAGAACCTTAAGGTAAAACAACAATTCCTTAATCACTAAGGTGGCTAGGTTCATGCTTATTTTTATATTTTAAATATTGGTTAGGATAGGGACTAAAATGAAGATAAAATGAATTTTGGAGTTTAAACTATGAAGCATAAAAAACTCGAGGACCAGTGGTCATAAAGAGAAAAAGAGAGTGTTGGTTGTCCAACATTAAACAAGTATTAAAAGAATATGTTCGTGAACATTAAACGAACGAACATGAACACCTAAAAAAATAAACAAACATAAATATGTTATAAAAAATCTAAATAAATACAAAAAAATATCTTTAAAAAGTGAAGATTTAATACAAAAATAAGTGTCTAAACTTTACCTAAAAAAACGATTTGGTTCCTAATTTTTTTTGTGCTAAAAATAGGTGCTTAACGTTTTCTTAGTTACACTTTTAGGTGTTTATTGTTATATTTTTTAATTTTTTAATAATAAATTATTTTTTTAAAAAAAACATAATTTATTTATAAAAAAACCACAAATTTTTAAAGAAATTATAAAGAAAACTATAAAAACTAAAATATCCCATTATCAACCATCGTCGGTCATCTCCGACCACCATCGTAGCCGAACACTTGGGTTTTGATCGAAATTGCACGATGGTTCGAATGGTGGTGACGGTGTGACTTATGGACGTCTAGATCGACCGAAATCGACAAAAACAAAGACGGTGACTTAAAATCTAATGAACCTTTGAACGCTTCTCCACGACAAACGGTGACACTTTAAGACGAAAGACCAACGGGGGTTTGATCAGAGATTGAAGTCGGTGTGAATGAAGGTGGCGGGAACGGTCACAGTTGACCGACCGACGACTATGGAAGAGGAAAGGGGAAAGGGAGAAGGGGGAGAGCAAGGGGTACACGGGCTGTTTTTTTAATAATAAAAATATTTTTAATTTTTTTAAATAAATTCTCAAAATTATCAGAATGTAACACATGTCATTTGACGGACGTTACGGTCCAAACACTTAAAAGTGCTCCGATAAAAACGTTAGACACATAATTTTAGCAAAAAAAATTCTTCAAACACTAAAACGTTTTCGAGACATTGTTTAATCACTTATTTTGTATTAAGCCAAAGAGTAAATAAATGAACTTAATATATATATATATATATATATATATATATATATATATATATATATATATATATATATATATATATATATATATATATATATATATATATATCAAACTAGATTCATTTGAAACGTTATTAGTGGCCACAATAACTGATTGCATATTCTAACGCAATACAAATTAAGTTCATCAGAGTCGTGTGAACCGGTTGATCCACGGACAAGACCGAATACCGATTAAAAATAAAATGTAAAACCGTTTAAGAACCGGACATAGTCTTCCTTCCTCGACGTTATTTGAAAACCTCTCAGTGGCCGTTGAAATCGCGCCTTCACACGTAACAACAAGGGGCCGTAAGATCCATTTTTGAAATTTAACCCAATGGCAGAACTCGAGCAATTTATTCACGTTACCTGCGGGTGAGCCACTCACCATTGCAAATGAAAAATTGAGTGCTCCCGTTTTTGGTTTTTCCTTTTGCAGTTTATATGTATAGAAAATACAGATACTCCGTTTTCTCAATCGGTCAAATCCAAAAGTTTGGTTGTATTCTTTGATCTCCGAATTCCAACATTTGGATCTTAAAAAGCTTCTTAGATTTACGAATACAATTCGATTTCATTACAAATAAGCGCTAATTGGCTGGGTTGATTTAATTGCAGCGTTTGATTTAGTTTTGATTTGATTGGATCTGATTTCAGCTCTCTACACCAGTTTCGACCTCGTACGCAATAATGAATCCTTTCTCTTCTGGTAATCGTCTACGGTGGGCACCGATTCCTTGTGTTACGCATTTCTTATTTTAATTCTTCCTTTCCCTTTTAATTTGAAAATCTGATCAAGAACACGGGGTTTCTTATTAGAATGGATGTTTTTTTTATGGAAACAGATGCGTTTTCCCCCTCTTCCAAATTGCGTATGTTTTTATTGCCATGACTGCAATTTGGGAGTTCGATATTAGTCTGTGCTACTTAAAATGATGTTTGCGTCTGAATTTTAGATCCATAGTGGAGATTTTTAGCTTATCTGGTTTCATAATTTGGCTCTTCTAGTTACTTTTTCCCTTTGTTTTTTACATGCTTAAATTAGTTGCGTGCAAATGTATAACATCAAGTAATTGGTTTGAGAGTAGCTTAATCTACCTTTTTTTTATGAATATTTAAAATATGAAATGATGCGCCAAATAGCGTTAGTGTCAGAAGGTACCATTTTCTAGAGAGGGGACCTAAATGGTACCACCAGGCACCAGTTCAGTACCGAAACCTTACTTCTCTACTACTGCATTATAGATATGTAAGTTATATAGCGTGTTTTGGAACATAGATATTACATCAAACAGTTAAATGCTGATTAACTAGCGGTAATAATTTGAGAGAGTGGTATTAAATATATAACTTTCAGTCCAAGGCATGTCATATACTCAGGTGTCCCTTTCAATATGGTTACCAAAGACAATTCGAATAGCCTGATTACATGGTTGTACCTTTAATTCTTGTGGCTATATGTTCGAAATGATTTTAGAACTTATCACACTTTTAGTAAACAAGTATAAATTGATTTCCTTTTCCTAGGCAAGACTGCTTGGTGACTGTAGAAGGTTCTCGTGCCTATTGCAATGGAACTAAATAGTTGTATTCGGCCCTATATAAATTTAGGATGATTAATAAATTTTGAGATAAGCAACAGAATCTGGGTTAAATGATATTGTCATGGGAATTCTCTGTTATTTGAATTAGTTACCAAGTTTTCTCCATATTTTATTAGTGTGAAGATCTCAATCTCCTTGTCTTTAGCCATCAGATAATTTTATTTGGAGGTGCTCCCTCTATGGATTGATCAGTTTTGGGTGCTGCTTTTATGGAATATTTGGTCTCCTCTTTCTTAAGCATCGGTGAATACTTGTATTTCACTACTGTTTACAAAAACTGATTATATATAATGGAGAAAGGCGTCTCTTAGTTAATGTAACATTTTATGAAAATAGAGAAAGGGAAAATGGATTTCACATCCTATATTAACTGCTTGGTTGTCCTTTCCTGTGGCCTCGAATTTCTATATTTACATACAAGTTAATATTTCCTATTCCAGCAATGACCCCTGGGAAGGTTGTCCATGAGTAGGGCTTGTGAGCCACACGTAGGCGTGCACCTAGATGCACCTCTGCCTTGCACCTTAGAGCTAAGCACCAAAGGCTCCTCAAACCCTTTCAAGCAAGCACATTCCTGATGTGCCTTGGCATGCTCTTTTTATAAGGCGACAAGCATAAAAAAATGCAACTTCATTGAAGTTCCCTTTAGTTTCTTCTATTTCTAGCTTTTTTTCATTAGATGTACCTTTACTAGTAAGAAAGGGTATCAACAATAAATAGAACATAAAGAAATCATACATGTTGGCCGCCAAAAATAGTACTTGTTCTGTAGGTAAAATAGGCCATTCTTTAGGGTTTATGTATAATCATATATCTTAAGCTTATCAGACACACAAACATATTGCACCTTATTTCACTCTAGCAAGCACTTTTTTTTCCACCTTGTGCAGGAGGCAATATAAGGGTTCTAGCCTCTATAATGCTTGAAGCGGATTATTAAGTTAGTTTATTTAGCGTCTGTTATGTATGAAGTTTTTTTGAGTCTTATATTAAAGTTGGGCCCCCTCCATTTATTGCTAAATGGTTGTAGGTTGAATGCTTAACATGCTACTAGAGGCCAAGTGTGTTCCATTCTTCCTACCTAACCCTGAGTGAGATTGATGACTCTTGATGAGGTTGTCCACACATAGGCCTATTAAGCTACACAAGAATGGCGAGTATTAAGTGGTGTTATTCACTGTGTCAAATGCTCATTTCATGTGATTTTATATTTAAGTTGGGTCCTTTCACTAATTGTCAAGTATCAAAGTTATCCCATATTTGTTAGATATTTGGCCAATCAACCAGCTTAAACCAATTGGCAATAAGCGAAAAGGCCAATTTTTATACATGATCAAAAGAAAACCTATACTTAACCAATATGGAGTAACATCACCTAACACTCCCATCACGTTTTGGATTCTATAACATGGTATTAGAGAACTCAACACTCTCATCAACGTTTTGGATTCTATAACATGGTATTAGAGCCTACATTAAGTTATGTTCTTCTTCTTGCCTAACACTATGTGATGTGGATGAGCCCAATTGAGATTGTCCACGTGTGTGCTATATGAGCAACATGTGAGAGGGAGTGTAAAGTGTTGCTACCCTACATCTATTAATCTTATATCGAAAGTTTAAGCCCTCCACCTATTAGCAATTAATTTTAGGTTTGAGGTTTTGATAGTTTGAAAAGTTTCTTCTTAGTTAGAGGACCTATGGCTGGTTTCTAAGAATACTTTTTCTTTTTCTTAAATGATCCATCCATGAGTAGGAATTCGGTTTTTTGTTAAATGAATTAAATTGATAACATACTCATATTTTGTACATTTTTTGTCCTGGGCAATATTCTATAATCCAAATTAATGACTTGATTATAGTTTAAGTGGTTATTAATTGGAAATGGTCAAAATCATTACTCCAATGTAGGGACATGATACGGGCCATACGTGCATGCAAAACTGCAGCTGAAGAACGTGCTGTTGTAAGAAAAGAGTGTGCTGCTATTCGTGCTGCAATTAATGAGAATGATCAAGGTTATAGGCACCGTAACCTAGCAAAGCTTATGTTCATTCACATGCTTGGGTATCCCACTCATTTTGGCCAAATGGAGTGCCTAAAGTTGATTGCGTCAGCTGGATTTCCAGAGAAGAGGATTGGATATCTTGGTCTCATGTTGCTTCTAGACGAAAGACAAGAGGTTCTGATGTTGGTCACAAATTCATTAAAGCAGTATCCTGCATGTAGACTTTTCTCAACCTTATTTGTTCCTATTTTCTTTTCCCTTTATCATTTCTGTTCTGGATGAATAACTTTGCCCCTGATACACCGGTATTACTAAGGGTAAAAATAAGAAAAGGAGAGATATGATTTACTTTGCAGGAACCTTAACTCATGTGCAGAGATCTCAACCACTCAAACCAGTATATTGTAGGGCTTGCTCTTTGTGCTCTGGGAAATATTAGTTCTGCAGAAATGGCCCGTGATCTTGCACCGGATGTAGAAAGATTGCTGCAGTTTAGAGATCCAAATATCCGGAAGAAAGTAAGTGTGTCCTATCTTTATCGAAGTGCCTGTTGGCTACAGATTCTGATTTCAATGATATGCCTAATAAAGGGGGTAAGGGAATTCTATTCTAGGAATTGTGAGTTTCTTATGCCAGAACAATGCTCTGATTATCCCTCTTAGTAGATATCAACTTCTCCATCCGCCTTTCTTCTACAGGAATTGGAAAGTTTTGTGCTGTTTTGTTGGACTCTTCTAGTATCATGGTTTTTCTTTTCTTTTTAGTGCCTTGTAATTTGTCAATACATAAGTTAAAATCACCACGTGAACCCATTATGTAAGTACTGCATGCCTCATGACTGAGACCTTAGTTGTAACATGTAATTATTTTTGTACTTCATGAAAGTGTGATATTTTGTTTAACGGTGTTCCTCGACCTTCAAATGCCCTGTACTTCTATGAAATCTGGATATTTTTTTACCATTTATCTTATCTAGAAGATTTTACTGCATGTAATCACTCAAGGGAACAATGGAATCATATGACAGACCTCGAGTCTGAACTCGTATGTGTTATCGACTCCAAGAAAGTCTTGCTTGTTTGATGATTTGCTGGAAATACATCTATTGCTTGGTGCCAGCCATTCTGTGAAGTCATTTTTATGACGCACTAAATCGATTCATCTAAAATTACTCACATTTCTATTGTTGTATTGGTTTGATTAAACAGGTTTCCTACTGTTCTCCCCCCCTTCCCCCGTCAATTGGCTTTTTGTTTATGGATTCTTAGCATGCACCTAGGTTTTTGGTTTTCTGACTGCAATCTTTGACTCCTCTTAACTAGCTGTTCTTTGTAGGCAGCACTGTGCTCCATACGGATCATAAAGAAAGTTCCGGACCTGGTTGAGAACTTTATGTATCCTGCTGCTTCACTACTTAAAGAAAAACATCATGGAGTCCTAGTAACTGGAGTTCAACTCTGTACAGGTCTTTGTAAAGTCAGTTCTGAAGCCCTTGAATATTTTAGAGAGGTAATTGGTTATGGCTTTTTTAACATTTTTTTCAGTTCATTGTTACTCTCTACCTAACAAGATCTGTGACTATGAAAAGAAGCAGTAATGAGTAGAACTTCTTTTAAATATTGAGTTCCTCGCTTCCTGCTAATGTTATATGATTATTTTCTTTACCTGTGAAAAGATGATAGCTTTTTTTATCATCAATGCAGAACTGTACTGAAGGTTTGGTCAAAACTCTGAGGGATATCGCAAACAGTCCCTATTCACCTGAGTATGACGTTGCTGGCATTACAGATCCTTTCCTTCATATAAGATTGCTTATGCTTCTGCGGTTATTGGGACAGGGTGATGCTGATGCTAGTGACTGTATGACTGACATACTAGCCCAGGTCAATTCTGAACATTTGAAGCTTTTTCTGCTGACCTATCTCTTTTATTTGTAATATGTTTTGTCCTGAAAGAAGTATCAAGTATAATGCGTATTACATATATTGTTTTATCTCGCCAATTAGCAACTACATCACAGTTCTTTTTTTAAATTTTTTATTTCTGTCTTTCTTTTGCTGTATTTATGTGCTTGCTCATCATTTTTGCTTAAATCATATAGGAATTCTTGAACCCCAAGAGTTAAGAACAAGAAGTTATTCATTCCCCAAATACAATAACCACTTAGAATAACGAAACAAATTAGATTTGTCGAGAAGTGCAAATCGTATGGATACGATCCTCATTGTGCATCTTGATCAATTGGATTGTATCTTTGTGGATTCCTGTACGTAGTTTTTGTAGATGTGTTTCTTGGTATTCTTTTATCATTTCGTCCAACAGGAAGAGTTCCTCTACTTCTATGAATTGTTCTAGAATACTTTTTTTTTTATAGAAGTAGGAGGTCTCGTTAAAAACCCCTTCATAGTTGTCTCTAGAATACTATTTTCTTGAATATCATTCAAACCATCATGAGCATTGAAGATAATGGAGGCTTACGCGTGCTTGCAATTAATATCATTAAAAAAAATCTTTATAAAGTTCTTAAAAAAGCTTTTTTAAAAGGAAAAAGTGTTTGCTTTCTTGGAGTGAGTTATGTTATTTTGTTTTATGATTTAAAATGCTATTGCATGATGAAAAATAAAAGTCCCGGCCTTTGTAGAAAATAAACTGGGCATTCCATTGAAATCTTGTTCCTTGACATGATAAAAAAACATTTATGAAATTGTATGGAGCATGTTAATTGAAAGGTTACAATTTTGGGTATACTGGACATTGCTTCTAAAGCTGATCTATATAAATGAAAGTAGAATCTAAAATTGTTGGAGAACTCCTTTCATGGTTTTGAACAATTCAACAATATTTCATCTATTTCAAAAAAAAAAAAGAGAAAAAGAAACAATGGTTCATCTCTCAGTAAGTTGAAGGGTTTCACTTTTACATGTTTTTCTATATGGTCATATTCTTTTTAGGTGGCATCGAGAACCGAGTCAAACAAAAATGCAGGAAATGCTATTCTTTATGAATGTGTTCAAACCATCATGAGCATTGAAGATAATGGAGGTTTACGTGTGCTTGCTATTAATATCTTGGGAAGATTCTTGTCAAATCGTGACAACAATATCAGGTATTTTCCTTTCAAATCTTATCTCGATTTCCCGTATCCCTATCTACACTATTTCTTTGCTCCTCTATTATATTATGGAACTTAACCTAGCATTTTTTCAGGTATGTTGGATTGAACATGCTTATGAAGGCTATTGTGGTGGAAGCTAAAGCAGTTCAGAGGCATAGAGCAACTATTTTGGAATGTGTAAAGGTGATGCCTCATGATATATAATTTCATCATTGATGATTTCAATAGGTTTCTTATTTAGTTCTCGTTTAAGAAGCCCAAGGACTTTTTCTTTTGCTTTCCTTTTAGCTACCCTATTTCTCTGTTAAGTTATTTGTTTGTTACTTTTGGTGAACACCATATATGTGGGAATGAGACTTATTATTTGCTGCAGAGAGGATTCTCTCTTTAGATGTCGCTTGATCTTTTATATTTTCCAAAGATAAAGATCCGATAGTCATCTCTCTGGTTTCTTTCTATTTATCTCTTCTTTTCTTTAGAGTGTGAGAAATCGAGAGAATAGGAAAAAAAGGAAGAAATCGAGAGAAGAAAAAGACATTTTCTGATAAAAAATCTTATTGAAAAACAAAACGTATCATGTTTTTATATGCTGTGAATTACAAGTTAGAGTACTACAAAGTTTCTTTTCTTCCTAACTTTTATCTCTTAAACCTTATCTTATCTCCTAAGAAATTGAATCCTAATCTATAATATAAATAAGTTACAAATAAATTAAACTTCTAAGTGAAATTAAACTCCTAATTATCGGTAGCTTTCTACACTCCCATCAAGTTAGTGTGTATATGTTATACAACCCAACTTGGATTTTAATCCAACATGGAAGAGCTTTAGTAAGAATGTCCACAAGCTGCATTTCAATAGGAATGTTGTTTAGTTCAATAGTCCCATTGTTAACTTACTCTAAAATGAAGTGTCTGTCAATTTCTACATGCTTTGTTCTATCATGATGAACATGATTTTTGGTAATGCTTATGGCTGATTGATTGTCACTTTGCACCTTGAAATAATTTTTAAAATCAACTTTTAGTTCTTTTAACAGTCTCTGAATTCACATTCCTTCACAAATTTTGAGGTAAAAGCTTGAAATTCAGCCTTTACACTGCTTCTTAAAACCACAACTTGCTTTTTGCTTCTCCATGTAACAAATATTACCCCAAACATGGAGCAATAGACACTTGTAGATATTCTTTTAGTTAACTCTCCAACCCAACTTGTATCAGTGTACACTATAACCTCACGGTTTTTACTCCTTTTAGAAAGTAAATCGTGACCGGGTGTCATCTTTAAGTATATGAGGATTTGATTTACAACCTCTAGATGCTCTTCTCGTGGATTATTCATTTGTTAGCTTACAATATTTATTGAAAATGTAATGTCTTGTGTGTGAAAGATAGATTAGCTTGCCCACTAATCTTTGGTACTGCTCTTCGTAAACTAGAACTCCATTCGTCCTTAATTTTATATTAGCGTTCATGGTAGTTTCTGTTGGTTTGCACCCAAGAATACCAGTCTTGGTTAACAAGTCCAGGATACACCTTCTTTGAGAGATCACAGTTCATGCTTTAGATCGAGCAACCTTATCCCTAGAACGTATTTGAGAGCACCAAGGTCCTTGAATTCAAAGTTGACAACAAATCGACCTTTTAGCTTGATGATTTATTCTGTCATCTTCTGTTATGATAATATCATCAACATAGTCAATAAGAATAGTCTTCTTACCAATGTTTATCAAAATAGTCATTTTTTTGGAGTATTTTGGTCCCAACATTTCATTTTAGGGCAAAAAAGCCCCTAATATTTCACCGAATAGTCACTTTGACTTTTACTCTCTTTTTTAAAAGTATTTTGACCCTTAATGTTTCATTTTAGGGTTAAAAACCCTCAATTTTGGAACATTAATCATTTTTTAACTAACGATTTTCATCCATAGAGGGGCCTTTTTGCCCCAAAATGAAACGTGGCCAAAATGCTCAACAAAAAAAAGAATAGAGACCAAAATGATTATTTTGGTAAACATTAGGGGCTAAATTTGATATTATGACAACTTTGAAACACAACTTGAATGAATTTGTCCATGTAGAGAAGCATTCCCTTCGAGCAAATAGAGACCACCACACAATTCAGCACTGCCAATCACCCTCCTCAAATCCACTGCCTGAAATTCACAAAGATTGAAATAAAATTTAGTAACACAGTTTAATTCACTAGATAGCTTATTAACAAAAATAAGAGTACAAGTCAATTTAGGAACATAAAAGACTGAGGATAGAATGAGGCCTTTGTTGATAGAACTGATCCAATCCCTTCCACTTTGGAGAGTGATCCATTTTCCATTCGAACAGTTGAGAGACTAGGTCATGGGCTGAATTTTTGAAACAAAGATCCCCTGTTGTGTATTCTGAAGCTACAGAATCAATTATCCAAGATCTCAAGTTATTGTTTTTTTTTGCCGTATTGGCAAAAGAAATAGTACCTTTTTGTACCCGCATGTTCAAGGGATTATTCTCATGGCTGCTGTTGGGTGAGGTGTGGACGACTGTGTTGGAGAGATGATTGTCGGAGTCTGAACTGACCTCCAATGATGATGTAGGTGGATTCTCCATGATTTCCTAGGTTTGATAACCTAGCCTGATACCATGTGAGAAATCGAGAGAATAGAAATAAGGAAGTAATCAAGAGAAGAAAAAGAAATTTTCTGATCTAATTTCTTATTGGAAAACAGAAAGCACAACCTATTTTTATAGGCCGTGGATTACAAGTTAGAGTCTAGGTTTCCCTTCTCCCTAACCTGTATCTCTTAAACTTATCTTATCTCCTAAGAAATTGAATCTTAATCATATAATATAGATAAGTTACAAATAAATTAATCTTCTAAGTGAAATTAAACTCCGAATTGTCGTCAGCTTTCTCCATAGAGAACCCTCAATTTTCTTACATGCCACTCTTATGATTTTTTTTGGTTGATTACTCTTGTTTTGATTGATACTTGGACAGATGCATAGGGATTCATTTGAAGATATAATAATTTCCAGAATTGTCTCTTGGGCTTGGATCAGGGGTAGAGTGGAGTAGGAATTTCGTAGATATCCTAAATCTGAGCCTTGGTACTCTACCAATAAAAAAAGATGTTTCCACCTTTTTCTTTGTTGCTTTTGATGTGGACTGAAATGTCATTATTGTCAAAATGTAAGTTTTAGGCATCTGAATAAGTTTTTATTCGAGATTTTATATTTCCAGGATTCAGATGCTTCAATTCAGAAAAGGGCACTTGAACTTGTATACTTGCTAGTGAATGAAAGCAATGTAAAGCCTTTCACGAAAGAGCTAATTGAATATTTGGAAGTAAGTGATCAAGAATTTAAGGGAGATATTACTGCCAAGATATGCTCCCTTGTTGAAAAGTAAGTAAAGCTACTTGTTAATTAAATAAGAAGTGCTACCTTAGCTTTCCTTGTGTATGTTATATTTACTGTTGTTTTATATGCTTTGTCTTATTGGTTCAATATTTTCATGTTTGTGCTTTGGATGTATCTAGCTGCATATCTGTATATAATCCTTCCTCCAAACCCCTTTTTAGGAAATAAAATGACTGGTTATCATTCTTGGAGAAGGAAGTTATATCATACAATTGATTTAATATGATGATTTTAATGGTTTGCTACCTTTATTAAATTTATTGAGGTTCCTTTTATCTGTCTCTTATGTTGGAATGTTTTCTTCTGGTTTATCAGAAAACTTTTTTATGTTGGCCAGGGGAAGGATGCTGAAAGATTTTGTAATTTCTTTGCAGCATTGTTTAGTGAATTAACAATCATTTCCATTGCCTCAGGTTTTCCCCTGAGAAAATTTGGTACATTGATCAGATGCTCAAGGTCCTCTCTGAGGTATATGTAGTATACATATCATTGTTATATGATTGGAGTGAAGATGCATTATTTCTCAAATTCTACTAAATTCATTTCTGTCCATGTTTCTGTTCCGCTACTGTATTTTCTCTTGTCTGAGTTGCATCCACTGCAATCTTTGTTCCTTATAGGTGTTTCAGAACATTATTTTTTGTTCTAGATCACTGATGTGATTATTTCAGTCTTTGGTTTGATCCAACTTTTTGCAGGAATCCATTAAATGCTGGTGTGAAACATGTTTTAACCTTTATTTTATTACCAAGTTTCTTTGTAGAACATATGACCTCGTGTATAAATTCTTTCAAAGGAAAGTGAATACATTCTTACCCTGTTTAAGTAGTGGTTTATATAAAGAAATTTCAATGTTAATAACCTTTTTTGGTATCTTTTCTCAAGTGATACCAAATTTGCAGTCAAACTGCACTAGTTCACCCACTAGATTTCTCAAGTTAAATCTAATGGTGGAACCTGTCTCAGCTATGACTTTTATCTGCTTGTTGCCTTTGATCCATTGTCTATCAAAGGCTGAAAAGTGGAAACCATAAAAGGCCTTAAGTGACCCTAGAACTTGAATTTAAGCTTTTGACCATTGAGAAGTGGTGGCTTAGGCCTCAAAATTTGCTGGGCCATTCAATTTGTATTAGCTTGTGTTGCAACTTGGATGGTTTCTGGTATGATCTTAATCCTTTTAATTGTAAAGTGTGACACCAATGAGGATATCTAGGATTTGACAGTGAAGGATTATGATGCCCTTTATAAGTTAATTAGGATTTAGGAGTGTGATTGATGAAATCCATATAAGATTTCAAGCCTCCACTACTAGCAACTTGTTAAGGACTAGCAATTCAAACCGGAGAAGTAGCTTCGTCTATGTCCTCGTGGCAACTTGGAATAGGCTTTTGGCTGAACATTTTCTCAATCTGCATAATAAGGAAGCAATTGGGAAGAGTAGGCATGGTAATTTTCCAGAAAGTGTGGGGACTGAGGTGTATAGCTAGTAAAGGTTCATCTTACCCAATCCTATATATTCATTTTACTATATATATGTCGGTGTTTTTCATTTTGTTCATGAAACTAAAGTGTCGGTGAAAAGGATTGGGTCATTGGTAGCAGAATGCATGTTCTTTTTATAGTTTGCTTGGTGGGAGAATCTTCATCTGTTGGATGTTGACTCTCATTTTTGGCTAGTAATCTCAAACTATGTTTCAATCGCCCTTCGACGAGCTGTCCTATCAATCAGAAACACACATGATCTTAACATGCAACATTTGTTATTTATCTTCTTAGCTTTTTCAATGTTTCTATTAATTATTATGTTCCAATAGTACTGATATTTATCCTTCACTTAGTAGGCTGGAAATTTTGTAAAAGATGAAGTCTGGCATGCACTTATCGTTGTCATAAGTAATGCTTCTGACCTCCATGGATATACAGTCAGGGCATTGTACAGAGCTTTCCAGGCATCAACAGAACAGGTATTCTTAGGTTTGTTTTGGATTTTTTTTTCTTTTCAGAATTTGATATTTGTATCAGTTTAATTATTAAATGCAAATTGTTTTTTCATAAGGAATCCCTTGTTCGAGTGGCAGTTTGGTGTATTGGTGAATATGGTGACATGTTGGTGAATAATGTTGGGATGCTTGACATTGAAGAACCAATAACAGTAAGTGCATCCTTATCCATAGATTAGTTTGCTTGCACTTACTATAGTCGTTTTGGATTTCTTTATCTTCAGAAAAAGAGGTAACACAGCAGGCAATGGTCTGTTTTATATGAACCTGAGTTCGCACAGGGGAAGCTTCTAATTTGAGATCTATGTTGTCCTGACTCTTCCTTTTTCATGAAGCAGTCATGTCCGACATTCATGTCTGATACAATGCTATGGGAATATGGCATCCAAGGATCCTCTGAATACATGGAAAAGCTTAAAAAAATCTAACCATATCTGTGGCGGGCACATAACCATATCTGACACCCACACCTGAGTGCGAGTAACATAGTTTGAGATTACTTGCAGTAGATGAAATAATGCATGTCATTCAATGTAGGGTTTTCTCGTGGGATCATATGGATCCTAAATGATTTTTAGACCAAGGAGATTCTAACTTTCTATATGATGTGCTGAAAGTCCTTTATCTCAGTGTCCTATGTGAATGCTTAGATTTATCACTCTACTTCTTCCACTTCTGTTTGGAAAATTTGCTGTAATTTTTTTTGTTAAAAAAAAATTCCTAAGCAGGTAACGGAATCTGATGCTGTGGATGCCATAGAGGTTGCTATTAAGCATCATAGATCAGATCTCACTACTAAAGCAATGGCTTTGATTGCTCTGTTTAAGCTCTCTTCTCGATTTCCTGCTTGTTCAGAGTAAGTGGATATTTTATCATTTATTGTCTCTCCTTCCCCATGGTTATACATTTCTACTGGCTTTGCTTGGTCTACAGGTAACAAACTCTATCTGAGCATGATCCAACTTGAATTTATTTCTTGGCAATTTGGTTTAGAATCCTAATTATTGTGAAATTTCTGATTATTGTCTATATATTATGAAAAAGAAAAACAAATTTTAATGAACGGTGGCTCCAGGAGGATCAAGGATATAATTTTCCAGAATAAACAGAGCCTTCTACTTGAGTTGCAGCAACGATCTATTGAATTTAATTGTATTCTTCAGAAGTACCATAACATTAGGTATGATTATTATTAGTATTATCTTTATTATGATGGTTTATGTCACTGCCTTTAGAAGATTTCCTGCATTTTAACCTCTGTTGTGAAGTACAAAGCTGATAAATTAATCCGTACAGATCTGCTCTGCTTGAAAGGATGCCAATTTTGGATGAGACGACTTTAAGGGGAAGGAAAGATGGCTCCTTGCCAACAGCTGTTTCAACTTCCACCATCATACCATGTGATCTTCCTAATGGAGTTGCTGAACCAGCTGCAGCTCCTATTGGAGACTTACTCGACCTAAGTTTGGATGATGTCCCTCCACCTATCTCTTCTTGTGGTGATATTCTTCAGGATCTCCTTGCTATTGATTTATCCCCAGCTTCTGCACTATCAGGTTAGTTGGGATGCATACTGGTGCATCTTCTAGAAGCGTTTGACTGAAATTTATTTTTTTCAAGCATCTGCTTATGGTATGATTTAGGAAGCACATACATAGCAAGTAACGTGGAAACTTCTAAAAAATGAAGACATGGAACCGTATAAATATCAATACTTTAAGAACATTAAAGGTTTAAATATACTCGTTAATGTATATGATTTAGATGATTAAAGATAAAAATATGAAATAGCCATAAATATTATAATTTTTTTTATTGGGCCATAGTTTAAACTCTTTTATTTGGTGGGAATATAATAAAGAGTGCATATGTTTTATTTTGTTTAGTTTGGAGAATGGAGTAAAAAGGGAAAACTAAGATGTTTGGCCGTTTGAAATCGTGTTATGGAGCATAGTGTCTAAAAGTATTATTTTACCCTTCAATTGTTATAATAATAATAATACATTAAGAATTAAACTTAAAAGTCTCTCATAAAATATTATTAGTAATTTCAAAAATATGTAAAAGTTTAAGACTTAAAATTAATATTTCAAAATCATATTTAAGATTTTATATTTAATAATGTTTGATAATAAATAATATATATTTATAATTATTAAAATATAGTTAAGAGTAATATTTTCATATAATTTGATATCCTATAATTATTATTATGGATTCCAAATTGGTTTTGGAATTTAATGGGTGTAATGGTGATTGCATTGCTTAATTACTTAAGTTGACTTTTTTGGAAGTGTAATACTGATAAAAGAAAATATATCTTCTTGTTTTTATTGTCATATTTTTTCTAAGAGAACCTTGTTTTGCGTCGCCATAAAATCTTAAATGTTTCACTACTTGCAGTGCCTGATTTTCTTTCCTGCTGATTAAAAAAAATCTGGTTTTCTTATTTTGAATTTTAAGGCACAAGTCATCCTCCAAAAGCTGGTACAGATGTTCTGCTGGATCTTTTGTCAATAGGAACACTGGTTCCTGCAGAGACCAGCCCATCTGCATTAGACATATCATCCTCCGGTCAGGACAACAAAGCACCACTTGCCAATTCAAATGGTCTTGCATCACTTCCCTTACTTATCGCCGATTCTCCTGCAAGTTCAGCTGGAATGATGGATTTATTGGATGCGTTCGACCCTATTACTCAAAAGCTTGGTAAATTTTTAAGTTTGGAACTCTGGCAGATCGTTGCAGCCTTGTAGTTGCCAAAATTATAGTTTTGTTTTTCTATGAGCAGAGGAAAATGGTCCAGCTTATCCATCCATAGTTGCATATGAGAGCAGATCCTTGAGGATGACGTTCAACTTCTCAAAGCAACCAGGAAACCCACGAACGACATTCATCCTGGCTACTTTTACAAATCTGTCACCTAATGTTTATAATGATTTTCTTTTCCAGGCAGCAGTCCCAAAGGTAACTCGAGATCGTCATTATTGAGTTTCCTCTACCCATAGTTTATAAATTTATAATCGGTTTCTTTTTTGTCTACTACAGGTGGGTATTTCATTATCAATTCTCTCTGTTGCTTTTTTTTCTCTTTCTAAAGCTAAAACTACAGTGATAGTTACACCATCAATATATTCACATGACTGCAATCAGAATCAATTAGTACAAATATATAATCAGATATAGCAAGTTTCACACCTGGTAATGGTGTGGCACAAACTTGGTATATCAAAGTTCCTAGGCTCTTTGTTGCTTTTTTTTTATTTATTTTTTCATGGATTTCTGTTAACATCTAAAACCTTTTTCTTGTTCCGAAAATAGAGTCTTCATTAAATTCACAAAATTTATAGTATGTCGTGTTCCTTGAAAGTAACCATCAAAGTTTGTAAATCTTATCATATAGAATCTCTCATTCATTTCCTTTTAATGTGTATAGTGCTGATACAGTTGCTGCATTTAAACTCTGCAGTTTCTTCAGCTGCATTTAGATCCTGCTAGCAGCAGCACTTTGCCGGCAAGCGGTGACGGGTCCATCACACAAAATTTGAAAGTCAATAATACCCAACATGGGAAGGTATGTATACTGAGTTTGACTCTTATGTTACACTTTTTGAGTCCCATGGTTTAGCAAGGAAAAGCTTTAGTAAATCATTTCATATATCTGATTTTAGTGATTAAAAATCTATGTTGCTCGAACTCGTCGGTTTTAACGCATTAGCCCCATCAATATAAGTAGGGACGGTAATAGGGTGGGATGCACGAATATTGCTCGAACTCGTCGTTTTGACACACCTCTATGAATATTAGTTTTGAATTCATCAGATGGTCCGAGTTTTGTCATCCCTAAACAAGAGTTCTGTATGAGATTACAGAAAATTGTCCATCAAATTTTTTTTTCATACTTGTTATGGAGCAATATGTTTCGAGGATATTGTAATGGAGGCTGTTTTACAATATTATCTGATTCACATTCAGAAATCATTGGCAATGCGCATACGAATAGCTTACAAGACGAACAACGACGACATATTGGAAGAAGGGAAAATCAACAATTTCCCTCGCGATTTGTGAGGTTGCTTCATCCATGGAGATGTTCATCTCCAGTCTTGATTTTTGTCTGAGAAACTTTGTCGCCCAATGTGTAGAGATAGTGCAATGTTTTGTTTCTATACTTGTATTCCAGGGGCCGTATAGTGAGGCAAGAGATATTCACAAAAAGTTTTCCCCTCCAGCGATTTTATTTATACTATTTAAGCGCATATTGTTTTAATAAAAATCATTTTTTTTTCTTATCTGCGTGTCAATAAATTCTGCTGGATTCAATACATGAAAGTAAGTTGTACAATTTAGAATTTATAAGCAGAAAAATAATCAACTTCAAATAAGATATGCGTGAGAAATGAGATTTAACTTGGTTCAATTTTGGCCTATTTCTACAGACGAGAGAAATAAATAATCTATTATAAACATAGAGATTATGAAGAGTGTAAATACATAAATATATTATGTATCTCAAAACCTAATATATATACTAAAACTTGATGTATTTCAAATCATTCTTCGAACATCCTACAAAAATAATCTTTGCAACGTGAATCCTAAAAATTCCAGAGGCTAAAAGAATTCTCTTTAAAATTATATCCTCATAATTTTAAAGATTAAAATATTCTTTATTTATAGAGTCAAAGGTTACCAAGAATTCTAACCCGCATAAATTTTAACTAAACTAATCTAATCGCTAAGTAATCTACAACCAATAGAATTATAATAAAATTTAATTTAGTTTTTAATTAAATTTGAGTCCATATTGAATAATATTATAAATAAAATGACTAAATGCACAATAACAAATTATAATGTAATTCTTAAAATAAAGTTAATTTTACTAATATTTCAAATACAATTAATCAAATTAAATGTGCAAATATAAAATTGTAAACAAATTTTCTTTTACTATGAGCAAACTGCCTTTGTTTATTCTAAAAAACAGTCCAAAGTATTGTTTAAATTCATGAATAATATTTTTTTAATAATATTCGTGAAAATATGGTAGATTAAATACCTTTGAAGATTGAAATATGGGTGGTGTATGAAAAAAAATGAGTGAATATAATAAAACAAGTAATTAATTTAATAAAATGAACACCGTATGATTTTAAAGGGTTATTTTAGGATGAAAATTGGAGGGTAATGACTTGTAAGATCGAAAAATAGAAGACATAACCGCAAGGACATAGCTAAAATTAAATATTAACAAGGGTCGAAATATTGAATTTTTTTAAAAAAAATATAATAAATTATTAGGTATTTAAACTCAAAATTCAGAAGACAAAACCTATTTGTCTAATATTTAAACTTACAATAACCTAAATTATTTTTATAACAAAAATTTTGAGAACATGAGATTATCCATCTTTAGTTTGATCACTACTTATTAAATATTTAATATTTTTTTGTATTTTTTAATTTGAATATTCATTTTTTACATAAACCAAAATAATAATAAACTAAATTTATCGAATATATAACTTTTTACATGGTCCGAGACCCCTTTAAGCCCTAAGGGAGCTCAGTCTCTGCACAAAGATAAAATTATCTAATATTTGTATAAGTGATTATTTTGTCTCTTGTTTTTTTCTTTGAGCATTTTAGCTTCTAATGTTTTAATTTTTGATAAAAAAAAAATCTTATTTGAAAACTATTAGTTTACTATTGATCAACATATATCGTTGATGAGATATTTTCACATGTATTCAATTACTGATGATTAGGGTACTAAATATATAATTTAGCTTAAATACTATAACAGTTTGGGTCTCTCAAAATTGTTAATTCAAACAATTGAGCCCATAATACTTTTAATCATTCAACCAGTTAAGCCCATGTCCAGAGTCCACAATGCATCTAGGGTTCCTCCTCTATAAATTGAGCACTTAAAGCCTCTCTTTTTTTCTCATTCTTCTTCACCTCTCTTATGTATTCTGGTACACATTCTTTGTAGTAAGAACTACTTCATTTATGGTTTTATTTTTTCATACCAAGTATTTGTTTTTCTTAAGGAAACAAACCTCTGTTGGGTTAGAACAATGAGGAGGCATCTATAAAATTAGTCTCTTCATGAAACAACGTTGAGGTATATCAAAATCAAAGGCCGAGATATCGTTTCAGTCGTCATTTTTTCTCCATTGACGCTCTGATTGTTGCTCGTCCACACTTGTTTTTAACTCCCTTTTTTCCTGGGGTTTTCTTAATTTTTTGGGTTTTTGAATCTGTTGAAATTAGAAAAAAAAATCAGCTAATAACAAGTGTGTGAAGAAATGCTAAACCCTCCGTGCCATACTTGAAAAAGCATCTGAGAAAGAAGAAAAAATACATGTATTTATCTTTGTTATCACTGTGAAAATCAAAAAGTGGTACAAAGTAAAGGGGAAAGTTTTCTTTTTAAAAAAATTAGGTTCGTAGACAAGAAATATAAAATTTAGGGTAAATTACATTTATTGTATCGGTTATTCACTGATTTTTTTATTTTATCAATTATAATACTGAAAATTTTAAGTATTATATTGTTTATATCATTTAATTTTTAATTTTAACAATTATAGCATTAGATTTTGTTCTTTGGTTCAATTATATAATTGAACAGATAAATCGTTAATGTCATAATTATGTTAATGTCATAATTATGTGACAAACGGTTGTCGGGTAGACATCTTATCAAAATAATGTCTAATGATTCGGCTGTTAATAATTTATCAGTGAAACGAAAATTAAAATTTAATGTTATTGTTTATAAAATTGAAAGTTTAGTAATATAAATGATTTAATATTTAAAGTTTAATGATATATGATATAATTTACCCTAAACAGGTTACAAAAACATGTATCTAGTGAAAAAACAATATTGATCCAATCAAAATGGCATACATATAACTACTCTGGTAGAGACTAGCATTTTGTAATACAAGTAATGTGGCATTCTATAGAGAATGAGGTCAAAGGAATAAAGTTTAATTTTTTTAAATTAATAACTAGTATCTAATCTATTGATCGAATAATTTAGATTGGGTACAATAGAGACAATGACAATCATTCCAGCTTAATTTGTTCCATTCACAAACCTCAGGGTTCGAACCCTTGATTTTGTTTAAAAAATTTAGTGCATCATCATGCTAAGCCAACCGGTTATTAGTGAATAAAGTTTAAATTTGTGAGTAATACTAATACATTAGTCTGAATTAAAATTTGTTCGGGGATAAAAATATGATAATTTGAAAGTATAAAGTCTTCAGGAAAAAGGTGAAAGTTTGAGTTCTAAAGTGAAAACAAGGGGGGATGAAAGGATTTATAGCATGATTAGACCATTTACTGACGTTGGTGGACTTTGACGAATAATCAAGCTGGGTGTTATTTTCTTATAATTTAGTCCAAAATTCTTTATTTCTTAATATTAGATTATTAAGATTTATTGTAAAGAAATTGAATTAAAAAATCAAACGAACCCTTTGGTGGAGCTTCAGTCTAAATCACGGTTTATAAAGCAAAAGGAAATATGAACCCTTTTCTTCTTCATTAAACCAAAAACCCTACTATTAAAAGCTTGATGAAACCCTACACTTGAAATTAGGGATGAACCCTAACATGCTTCCCCATACCTTAAATTAAGCTCATATTTGGAAGCCTTGTATCCTTTAGATTTCATTTGATATCATTCGATTCATTTTTAAGTAAAAAAGCCGATGAAACGTCTACAATATTAAATACTAAAATCTTAAATTCAACTTTTCTAAAACAATCTTCTCTACAACACTTTCATAAACATCTCTTAAAGGCACGTGTTCATCTTAAAATTCGAATATCTTTATGTTTGTTATTCATTTTATTGATTATATATACTCTGAAATTTTATTGGTGCCTACCTTAAATATATATTTTATAAAATTTAATTGTTTAAAATATCTTAAAATAATCATGGTCAAAGTTTAAATTTTTTTATTTTTAGGACATATTTAGTGGGACAAATAGAATATTAAATTAACATTTATTTAAAGTTTAATAATCAAATTAAAAATTAACCTTTTGTAACATGCTTGCCGACCAAATTATAACTAATCGATAAGATAAATGACTAAAACATAATAATTGAAAATTGGGTGAACTAGAGTAGAAGAAAATCAAACGATGGTTGCAATAAGACAATAGAAATTAGCAATGTTATCAAAACCGGTTCGAATCGGCCGGTTTGACTGGTTGAACCGGAAACCGATTGTCTGTTCGGTCCGATCAACCTCCAAAACCAGTTTTGCAATGAACTGCTAAAGAACCGATAGAACCGGTTGGGAACCGGCAAAATCGGTGTGAACCAACGGTTCAAGCGATTCTGTTTTTTTTAAATTAAACCAAACGACGTCGTTTGTTATGATTTTTTTGAGCTCAAATTTATTATTTAATATGTTTTACACTTTTACTTTTAATTGTTAAGTATTGTTTGAGAATTTAAATTTAACTTTGTATTTATTTATCATATTGCTAGATGATGAAGATCTTGATGTTGTGGACTTTCAAGTTCAAAGTAATGCTATGAAGTTTCAAGTTCAAAGTGGTGATAACGGTAATAGTTCAACTAATGAAGAAGCTTTTCTCAATATTTTAGAATTTGAGGGAATCAATTTCAATGAATATTATAATATTATGATGATTGATACTTGTATCAATTGTGTACTTTTTTTATTTAGTTGTTGATGAATTTCATTAGGTATTGATCTTAAATATTATGTTGTAGTTGATTTGAATCATTTTATTTTATTTGATATTATGGTATTTAACTTATATATGTTATGACTTGTGATATTTTTATACCTTTTAATATTGTGAACTTAAAAAGAGTGTTATATATATATAGTGCTTTGAATATTATGTAAAATTTAAAAAATATTATTTTATATAAATCGATTCAATCGTAATTTAACTACGGTTCAATCACAATTTAACTACGGTTGAACTGATTGAACCAGTAAACTAATACCTTCGCCGTTTAAAATTCAATACGGTTTTAAAAACATTGGAAATTAGCACTGATATGTAATTGTCGCATTATTCGGTCCCTCTTTTAAAAGCACACCTTTTCCTTGCAACTTTCATTCTACCTTTGTGTTGTTCCCTAATCGCATTGACCATTTTACCCTTCATCTTCCCCAGTTATATCCCTTTTCACTCGTCTGCAATCCTTTTTTTTTTTGTTTCTTTTCTTTGATCCGCACTTCAAATTTTCGGTACAGAAAACAAATCCAAAGGAATTTTTTTTAAAAGTTATGTTGGGGACAGGATTGGAATTCAGGAGAACTCGAGGCGAAGTTCGGTTCTACAACCCGCCCAATGCCAGAAGAGAGAACCGGAATCAGTAAAACGATCAGCCATGGAGGGATCAAACCGATGTTTGCGCGAGGCAATCGACGGATAAACCCGTTGCCACTCATGTGAACCGGGAGTCTGAAAAGGACAATACCAAACCGGCCTCCATTCCCTCTTCCGAACCGGTTGTTTCCCCTTTGAGTAATTTAGAGCGGTTTTGGGGTCGGTCATGCCTTCCGTCCCTGCGCTCCATCTCTCTAAGGTTTATTAAATCTCATATACGCTAATACTTTTGGGTTGCTTAATTGCCTTTGTATTTCTTTCGTTTAAATTGAATTGGTTTTTCCGTTAGATTCCTTTCTTTAAAAGTAAAATCTGGAATATTTTATTTTTTCTGCTGTTTATCAAGTAGTGTAAATAAAAAAATGGTGTAATTTTTAGGAGATCGAGTTTTTTCTTTAAAAACTGTGATTGATATTTGAAAATGGGGTATGGCAGACGACGATGTGAGGGTGGCGGACCCGTAACGTTGAGTTTGAGCCATATTTTGTGTAAGGTGATTTATGGGAGTCGTTCAAAGAGTGGAGTGCATATGGAGTAGGTGTCCCACTAATTTTCAATGACTGTGACTCTGTTGTTCAGTACTATGTACCTTATTTATCCGGTATTCAAATATACGCCTATCACATGAAGATGTCTGCCAAGTCAAGGTAAATTATGCATTGCTTTCATTGAAGTTTTTTTCCGAGTACACTTTGAACTTGTTGGATGTTAGTAAGTGTAGATACTCGTTTTTGTTCGGATAAAAAATTTATACTATTATTATTGCTATTATTATTATTATTGCTATTATTATTAATAAAATTAAATTATATTTTGCATGCCTAATCCCAACCCAATTACAAGCTCAGTAATACACACCCAAGACCCAGTTACAAGATCCGGATTTGGATCCGACCCAAACTCAACACTCAACCCATTCAACTCCAACCCCATGTATCTCAACCATTTTCACTATCCCACTACTAAAAAACCACCTACTCCACTAAATCCACTATCAATCACAAAAAAACAAAGCCACGTTCAACTATAAATAAGGTAGATATTCGATGGAATAAGGGGAGAAAATTATCAATCTTTACTCAAACCAACTCCCATTCCTATTCTAAAAAAAAAAACCCACTTTGATAGAGAGAGAGAGAGAGGAAGTCATGGCAGCGGCTAAAGAAATGATGGGTTCTTCTTTGATTCAAAGATCGTCATTCGACAGTAGTAATAGGACAACTTCTTTCCTGTTCCGACAGAACCAGAACCGGTTCCTGGTTAACCATGTCTTGCTCCCATCGAAGCAAAGGAGTTTACGTTTGAGAAGAGCTGCCATAGTTCCTGTGGTTGTAACACTCATAACCCGTATAATTATATCTATACAGATTATAGATGTTATCCGAATTTTTAAAACCATTTTAATGATTCAAAAGCGATTTAAAATTTATTTTTCTTTAAAATGATAATTGATATTATAAAAATATCATTCCATATAATTTATATTTTATTATGACAAATTTAATTCAAAATATTTTTTTACGAATAGTACCCGTGAACATTGCGATGAACAGTAGGGGAATCAGTACCTCAAAATCATTCTGGAAATTTTGCTAAAAAATATGGTTATTGTTCATGCTATAATAACTGCTACAGTAACTTCCGAAAATACATATAAATTCATAAAAATTAACCTTTCATCACTATAAAAATTTCCAAAATTTATTCAACAAATAAATTGAACATTTTTAAATTACATGTCACTATCTAAAATCAAATTCCATCGTAGGATGTCTTACTGATAATGAAATATACCTCTCGATGCTTGATGTCACTTTGAACTCTTTAATCCACTATTGACTTTTTACCTAAGCGTGAAAATCATCACATGCTAAGTATAAACTTAGTGAGGCAATTAAAACAATATACAGTGCAATACAATTCATGCATGAATTTCGATGTCCAAATCAAAATGCCATAAATCATTTCACTTGCATATTCAATATTTTACCATGACCAAATTAATTTAAAATTTCTTATCAAAGTATTTACAATTTAATCCCATAAGCTTGTAAGCTTATTTTACCAACATACTTACCATTTATTCCATAAGCTCATAAGCTTATTTTACCAACATACTTACCATTTATTCCATAAGCTCGTAAGCTTATTTTACCAACATACTTATCATTTATTCCATAAGCTCGTAAGCTTATTTTACCAACATACTTGCCATTATTCCATAAGCTCGTAAGCTTATTTTTATACTTACCATTTATTAATCAATAAACCATTATCCATAGCCTATAGTATAACTATATGAGGAACCCGGTATAGGAGTCAAATATTGCATCGAAGTGCTGAGGTCGAGCATTGCTCACCTAATAATGCACCGTAGTGCTGAGGTCGGGATTTACCCACCTAGTACACCGTAGTGTTTGTACTGTGTCTTTACTAGACACTAAGGACTGCACTATGTGCCTTCTCTAGACACTTTAGTGCTACTTAATATTGCAGCTGCTAGACTCTATGACATACCATTAATACCACTGATCCTTAATAACATACTTGGGCATATAATCAATTTTATTCGGTCCATCCATGGCAAAGTATATCATTTAACATTGGGTAGTTCATACCCACAATACTATTCATGATAAAAATCATATATGTTCATAATAACATCATATGCAAAAATCAGTGATCAATACATTTTATATTCAACCTTTGACATATTTAGAATATGTCAAATATATGATAAATGACATAAATATCATGTCAACATAAGCAAGGTCGACTTATCGCAAGTCTTCCTGATGATGTATAAAACATCCATGTATAATATCATGCATGTATTGCACTCACCTTAACACTTTATAATTTTCCAAATTTGTTCCTCACTATTGTCCACAATAAACCCACTTGACTTGCTTTAATCGCAAATCAATTATAATCTGTATAATTCATAATTTCATAACGATACATATGTTAGTATTTTACTAACATAAACATATCCCACAATAACAATATTTTTTATACTCATTATCTATCAAAATACTAACTCTTAATAATTTCTTTTAACATTGGAACCAATTTTTTCAATTTACACAAAATGGTCCTTCACCATTTTATCACTTAGAATTTCAATACAAAAATTCCAGTATTGAAATTATTATCAACCAAGTACACAAAGGCATAATTACAATAACACTCCCAACAATTCGAAATTTGTATTACAATTACCAAACTTTCTAAAATTTCCATATTCTGACAACTTGCACTACCTTTAAAGAATCAATATTATGTACTAATATACACACTGGAATTTAATTCCGTTTATTCCTTTAGAAACTATACTAGAATGCGAATCTATCCATATAAAGAACTCCTTCTAATTCATTCTGTACAATTTATGGTGAATTTTCAAAGTTGATTAACAAAATCTATTTTGCAGAATCTGCTGTCCGATTTTTCTGACCTTTCCTTGGTTAAAAACTCATATCTTTTTGTATACACCTTGAAATTGATCCCCGTTTGTTTTAAACGAAACTAGATCGATATATGAACACAAATATATAAAAATAATCTCAAAATTATTTTTATATAATTTTTGGTGAATTTTCGAACCTACTGCCAGATTCAAAATTCAAACTGTTTTCTTTAATTTCATTCTTAGGTTCTTCATCAATTCTTACAACCAATTCTTTCAATTCACTTAACTCTTCAAAACCCATAAAACACAATAAATCAACCACTTAACATCTCTACAATCAAATTCTTAATTATCTCTCATCAAAACACAAATTTCTCCAACTTATGATTTGGCCGAATTTTGAAGAATTAATTCTAAGAAGATTGAACATGTTATAACCATCAATCAAACTTGAAAATAAATCTACAACCTCTAAAACATCAAGATTCATCATCAAATTCATGATCTCTTATATGAACACAAACCCTTAGATTTAGGATCTTTGAAATATAGCAAAATTAAAAAGCAATATTGGTACCAAATGATAGCGTTTTTGGCTTAGATCACTTTCCTATCTCACAACATAACTCCAATTCCAAAGGAATTAGCTCAAAATTGAAAATGAAATATTTTCTTACCTTCAAGCTTTCTCATGTTCTTGTGCTGGAGAAGATGAACACTTTGGCATGATATGTTTGATTGATATCATGCTTATATCCTTTAATTAATCATTTAATGAATATTAAATTCATTAAATTGGTTAAATACCAATTTAACCTTAATGAAACTTTATAATTACCAAAGAACCTATATACTTATTCTTATCTCCTTCCAAATTAGAGAAATATCAACCTTATCATCTTATAATAGTCAAAGATAAACAAATTAGTCTTCCACTTTACCATTTTGCCCTTGCAATTTCCAAAAATTATAATTCAGTCAATTTAATCAAACAATTCAAGTTAAACATGAAATTAAACCATTAAATATTATTTTCTAACATTTTAAAAATGTGAAAATAATATTTTTATTTCTTATTTTCGTGACCCATTTTAATTTTTCTAAAATTACATTTTGGTCCTTGAACTTTCCAAAGTTTATACTTTGATCACCAAACTTTACCAAATTTATAATTTGGTCATTAAATAAATCCATTTATGAAATAAAATTCTTTTTGGGAAAAATCACCACTTAATTCCTTAAACTTTTCCCAATTTTCTACTTTGACCATCAAACTTTCAAAATTTGCATTTTTGGTCATTATCTAAATTTTTGGGGTATTACAGTGGTGGTTGCCGTCAGTGACAATCTGATCAAGGTTGCGCCCGACCAGAATGACAAAGGTGTTCAGTTTAAGGTCCGAGCAGCCGTAATTGTTAGGAACAAGAACAATGAGGATCTCAATGATGCATTAATGGAGCATTTGGATGCTTTCACCGACGAGATTGAAAGGAATGTTGTTTTAGAAATCATTAGTACCGAAGAAGATCCAAAAATCAAGGCTGCAAAGAAAAGCTCCAGTATCAAAGGTCGAAGCTATTGTAAGACGTAAGAGAAAGATATTCTAGCCATGAAGATAATGGTAGCCGTAAAGCGAGTAGTGGATTACGTCGTTAAGATCAGAGTCAGGCCCGATAAGAGTGGAGTTGAAACCCAGAATGTGAAGATGTCAATGAATCCTTTTTGCGAGATAGTTTTAGAGGAGGCTTTGAAAATGAAAGAATCTCGATTGGCTAAGGAGGTTGTTGCAATCTCCATGGGGCCTTCGAACTGTGTCGACACCAAGTAAATTTATCGGCATTGATCGCCTTCGTCATGAAATCTGCTATGTTGTCTTTGGTATGGATTTTCTGCATATCTACCGTCTCTTTTTCCACTTTTTCATGAATGAAATGGTACTTAACTCGTATGTGCTTTGTCCTTGAATGAAATGTTGGATTCCTTGCTAGATGCAAGGTGCTTTGACTGTCACAAAACAGAGATACATACTATTGATTGTGCCCAAGCTCCTCCAATAGCATCTTCAACCAAATTACTTCTTTACTGGCTTGTGTAGCTGCTATATATTCTGCCTCTGTTGTGGATGTAGCCATAACTAACTGCAATTTTGAAACCCAGCTTACAGCTCCACCATCAATTTTGAACACATATCCTGTAGTAGATTTGCTTTTATCCAAATCCCCTGCATAGTCAGAATCAACATACTCATTGATAAGTAAATTTGATCCTCCGTAACATAATGCAACATTTGAGGTCCCTTTGATGTATCTCAAGATTCTCTTTACTGTATTCCAATGCTCTTTGCCTGGATTCGCCATGTACCGACTAACTACTCCCACTGCTTGTGCAATGTCTGGTCTTGTGCATATCATATCGAACATTAAACTTCCCACTGCCGATGCATACGACACTTGAGACATCTCCATCCTCTCTTCTTCACTGCTAGGACTCATACTGGAGGATGATTTGAAGTTAATAGGAAGAGGGGTAGAAATTGGCTTACAATCTTGCATGTTGAATCGTGACAAGATCTTCTTCAAATAATTCTTTTGTGAAAGCCAAATCTTCCTATTACTTCTGTCTCGGTGAATTTGCATCCCTAGAATCTTGTTTGTTGATCCCAAGTCCTTCATTTTAAATTCCCTAGCCAGTTGTGCCTTCAATTCTTCAATATGATCTTTGTTGAATCCTGCAACCAACATGTCATCCACATACAATAACAATATAACAAAATCGTTATTACCAAACCTCTTGAAATAAGCACAAGGGTCTGTGTTAAGTTTATTGTATCCAAGGCACATAATGAATGAATCAAATCTCTTATACCAATACCTCGGCGCCTGTTTTAGACCGTACAGAGATTTATTCAACCTGCAAACCAAGTTTTTCTTTTCTTTTTCTTTAAAACCTTCAGGCTGAAGCGTATAAATCTCTTCTTCAAGATTTCCATGAAGAAAAGTTGTTTTAACATCTAGCTGCTCTAGATGTAAATTCAATGTAGCACACATTGCCAAGACAACTCGAACTGTTGTTAGTCGAACCACAGGAGAAAAGATTTCATTGAAATCAATACCTTCTTTTTGAGCATATCCTTTGACCACCAGTCTTGCACGATACCTCTCTACTTGATCGTCACAATTTCACTTGATTTTGAAGACCCATTTGTTACCAATTGGCTTCCTTCCTTGTGGTAGTGGCACAAGGTCCCATGTATTATTTTTATGAAGGGCTTCAATTTATTCTTGCATCGCCATCATCCACAGTGAAGCATCTGAGCTGTTTATTGCCTCATGGTATGTTGATGGCTCACCGTCTTCTGTTAAAAAGAAATATGCAATAGTTACTTCTATAACATAATCTGAGTGCTAATTGGGACGTTTTCTCACACGATCTGATTGACGAGTTGTTAGAGCTTCAGAACTCTCTTGTTCTTGTTCATAATGTGCTGATTCTGCTTCAGAAGAATCTCCTTGTTCAACCTCTTTTTCCAAATGTATTTGTGTAGTATCTGACTTTTCAACGCTATCATAATCTTCTTTTCTTTGTAGTTTATCTTCTAGAAAGATAACATCCCTCCTAATGTTCACTTTGCGGGCAGTGGGATCCCACAAGCAATACCCCTTTACACCATCAACATACCCCAAGAATTTGTATTTCCTGAATTTTGGATCGAGCTTTGAAATTCCTTGAGAGTTGTATATCACGTACACAATATTTCCAAATACATGGAGGTTTGTATAATCAGATGGTTTACCAGTCCACATCTCCATTGGTGTCTTTAGCTCTATTGCAGTTGATGGAGCTCGATTCACCAAATAACAGGCGGTATTGACTGCTTCTGCCCATAATAATTTTTCTAGGCTTGCATCCCTCAACATTTCTCTTGTTCTTTCTAACAAGGTTCTGTTCATCCGCTCTGCCACTCCATTTTATTGAGGAGTGTTCGCCACTGTGAACTATCTTTTGATGCCTTCTTTCTTGCAAAAGTCATCAAATTCTTCACTTGTGTATTCTCCTCCATTATCTGTTCTGAAACACTTGATCTTATTTTCAGAATCAAGTTCCACCCACACTTTGAAGTTTTTGAAAGTTGAAAACACATATGACTTCTTCTTAATAGGGTACACCCAACATCTCCTGGAGTAGTCGTCAATAAATGAGACAATATTTTACTCTGCCTAGGGATGTAACTGGTGCTTACCCTACGTCAGAATGAACCAATTCTAGAACACTTTAGCCTCTAGAATTTGACGTGTTGAATTTCAACCGGTGCTGCTTACTTGTTGTACAATGCTCACACAAAGTAAGTGATACATTTGTTAAGCCTGAAAGTAGCTTTTGCACCACAAGGACTTTCATTACTTGTTCTGACATGTGTCCAAGTTTTTGATGCCATAACATTCCAGAATCTGAACTCCATGAGGCAATAGAGGCTTCTACTTCTAGCAAAGTCTCTCCCTTCAACATGTACAAGTTTGCTGCTATCCTTTTGCCTTTCATCACCACAAGCACTCCACGAAAAACCTTCATGATTCTTTTTCGTGTTTCAATCTTGCTTGCATTATTATCCAACAATCCGTAGGATAATAAATTTTTGTTCAGGTCTTTCACGTGTTGCACATCTCGAACAACTTTAATTGTTCCATCATACATCTTCAATTTGATGGTTCCCACGCCAACGATTTCTAAGGCATGATCATTACAACTATACGCAGATCCTCCTGAGACATGTTCATAATGATGGAACCATTCTCTTCTTTGAGGTCATGTGATATGTTACTCCTGAATCAATGAGTCATATATCTGCAAATCTTTTTCTTTCTTCCACGGTGGTTGACGCTTCACAGCATAGAGTATCTACATCATCTGAAGTGTTTGAGGTATTGCCTTGTGGATTCGAGTTTTTATTTAAACTCCAACAATCATTCTTCAAGTGACCATTCTTTCCACAGTTGTAGCATTTTAAATTCTTTTTGCTTCTCGACTTCAATCTAGTATGTTTGTGACTGCTGCTTTGGCCACGTTCTGTTGATCTCCCTTTCATCATTGTCAACACTTCTGCTTGTTGCAAATTTACTTGTTTGGCTTCCTTGTTCTTGTGCCGATTTTCTTCTTGTAGAACAGCAGCTGCAACATCATCGAAGACTAGACTAGTGACATTACTGTTTGTCAAGTTGATGATGAGTTGATCACACGAATCAGTTAGACTTTGAAGTAGAAGTTTAACACGTTCTTGTTCTTTTATTGCACATCTTAAGGATGTAAGCTGAGAAAATAAAGTGTTCAGTGTGTTTAAGTACTCCGTCACTGAAGTAGATTCTGGCATACGAAGAGTGTACAATTTCCTCTTAAGGAAAATTTTATTGTGCAACGATGTAGCCTCGTACAGTTTGGTGAGATGATCTCATATCTCCTTAGCTGTCTTCTTTTCTTCGATGCTTGACAATACTTCATCTGCTAATGCTAGATGAAAGTTTTCCATAACATTCCCGTCCATCTCGTTCCATTTGCTGTCATCTATGAAATCCACCGGCCTTTCACTGATAGCTGCTAGACTACCGTCTTTTTCAGGATGTCCTTCATCTTCAATTTTCACATTGAGAAATTTCTCCAATTGAAATTTTCAATATCAAATTTCGTTGTCATAGCTTCTATTATGGATAGCTCTCACTATTTCACTATTGTGAATAGTTCTTTGGAACTTTCAAAGAGTGAATAATACCTTCTTACTTTCTTATGTTAGAGGATCCACCTTTTGGTAGCAACCACAAAGAAAATAAGTAGATATTACACACTCTAATTTGGCTCTGATGCCAATTGTTGCGGAATACGACTATCAGATAGATCAAAAACGCAACTGATAATTTGAGAAAATAAAAATGAAGATAAAGAAGACACAAATTTTACATGGAAAACTCCTAAATAATATAGGGTAAAAACCACATGCAACGATAGAAGAATTTCACTATAAGAAAATAGGAATTACAACTTCTCTCGATTTAAGGAGAAAACAATGACAATTATCTCTTGATGAAAAGGAGAAAACAACTCGCAAGAAAACTCTCTAAATTCTCTACTATTGGGAGAAAGCTAGAATGATTTGGGATGATTTTGAAGCTAAATGGATTAGGGTATTTATAGTTAAAGATTAAGGACTAATCTTGTAAATACCCTAAAATTTAGTGACTATAGTTTGTAATTTTCCCATATAAAAAAATTAACAAAATCAACTAATTTAGGCGTGCGTCGAAAGCCACCGAAATTTGTAGTCTTATTTGACAAATTTTGCTGCCACCATATTTGACTTTCAACATCGGGAACTAGAGCAGCGACCAGCTATGCGAGGGCCTCTAGTTTAGGGGCCAAGTCATAGTTGGCACGATTACTTCAAATGACGGCGCTCTTCTTGTCTCTATGGCTTCGTGTGTTGGTCCTCATGGGGCTGTTATAAGTTTTCGACCCTATATATCCCTTTGACAAGTGTACCAAAGTTTGTAGAAATTATCTCCTTTCTATACCAAACGCATTTCAATTGTCATAGAATGTCATTGA